CCCTTTGCATACACTTCCCTTATTTTGGTACTCCTCAACATGGATGCTACAAACGGCTTACCCAGTCTTTTCGATTGGTTGCAGTCACTTGTGTAAGTATTAGTTGCGTTCACGTGAGATCATAAAATCCGATGGCTATTGGCCTTATGGACAATCGATAGCCGTTGCTTGTCGGACTGGTACTCGCGAGAAAGTAAACGACCACTCGAGCATCTGATGAATGGCTGGCATGCACACAGTGAACAGTCTATGGATGCTAATGCGTGCAACTCTGAATCGAAAGACCTGGCATAGCTGTGCACAACGTATAGGAGCGTCCTTGCAGTATCGCCCAAATGTGGCGCGCTTGTACAGTTTGCCCAAACGGCCGGGGTATTCCTGATTAATGCAAATTTTGAATTCGTTCCACCATGGGACCGGTTCACTGTTTTGCTGATAATGACAGTTTCTCACAGCCGATTCTATCGCTACTTATACTGTGATACTGCGAATTGCTGCCCGCTAAGTATTTCCGCTGTCTTATGCATCAACCATTCTGCTGCTTGTTTGAGGTGCTACGCAGAAAACTCGTTCAGCGTGCCCGTCTCTTCGTGTTTTCATATCATCTTCGAACACCTGCACCCGTATTTCAGTGAATTTATCCTCCAGTATTTCAACAAGTTCTGTGGGGAATGGACGAGCCATTGTTGGTCTCGGGAAGTTACGATCAGTGCGTGAAATTCTGGGACGTCGGGCGAGGCGATGCGCGAGAAACATTCACACATAAGGATGCCCAGATTAATGTGATGCGCCATTCATTGGATTGCACTCTTCTGGCAATCGCTGGCTGGCAACATCTACGTGTCTATGATTTGACGGTAAGTCTTTCAGACAGTTCCTTCTTTTCTTCCACCGAGCAACTTCATCTTCTTTCGATTAGCACGACCCACAAGTTATGCTTCGGTCTACTTACAGCCTCAAAATATCACTTCACAGCTTCAACCTTCTCGACAACCCTGCTCAGAACGGGCTGGGCTTTTATGGCCCTTTCTTTTTATTCTATTTCATTTTTGAAAACCGCAAGAGTCCCAGCGCAAGTACGTCTACTGAAGTAAGTTTCGAAATGAATGAGACGTAATTTTTAGACATCACCTCCAGCGAGTATCGCCACCGGCGCAGCACTCAAAAATGTGACAGCGGTCGGTTTCGACGACCGAAATAGATGGGTTTTCTCGGGTGCTGAAGATTGCACGGCAAAACTATGGGATTTTCGCGCAAATTTCGATTGTCGTCGTGTATTGCAAGTAAATGATGCTTTGCATTCTAATTAACGTGACAAAATTTGTTGATTTAATGAGCATTGAATCGTATGGTCTTTCTTTCTAATTGATAATTTGTTAGTTGATTTTATCGACTTAGAGCTCGTCGCATCTAGGCAACTCCATGCAGGCTTATAGAATGATCTCTCGTTGGCCGGTTATTGCGTACTTAATGTTTATTATAAAAAAAAAAAATAGCTACGAAATTTTATTTTGAAACGCAAAATCTATTGCACTTGAAATTTCGAATTGTTGGAATGTAGCCTTCCATACGGATAATTTGTGCTAGTATTCTGTTTTTTAGCTCAAAAGTACAACTGTTTTGCAAAATGCTCGAGTGTAACATGTATTGTTTTAACGTGCTGCATTATCATTTTTAGACCAACGCTCCAGTGAATTGTGTAGTTGCACATCCGAATCAGGTTGTGCTTATTATAACGGACACTTCTGGATCGATCTACTTCTGGGATCTGCGATGCGATAGCAGTGAAGCATTCCATAACT